CTATTAGAGTCGCGAGACTTGGAAACTTTCAGGAAACCTTCCGTCATGCGATTTGTTGCAAGTGTTATGTTACAAGTCTTTCATCTCATGTAATAAGGGTAGATTTGTCATTAGTCAGTCTTATTTTGGAGGGTATTTATTGAATGTGTATACTTATTTTATGAATAATAAAACTATCTAGTTAAAAAATAGGGTAATTTTTTTTTATTGCAAATCTTCTTTTCTTCATCACGATGGATAAAGTTGGCTCGAGCGCTTTCTTCTCTGTTCGAGCAGTTTCCAGAGGAAATAGATCTCTGTACACTTAAAAATCTTTTTTGGTAGGTATAGCTCCCGCCGGCATTCATAGGAGGAATAGCCTTTTATTATCGGCTTTTTCGGAGTAGCGAAGGGATTGCCTTGAAGCCCGAACGGTGAACGGTGTCAACAAGCTTCCGCTCTGCTTAGGACGGACCAATCATAAAGTGAGTAAAGAAGGATGGAACTCACTTTAGCGTACCTTGCTAAAGTCGGAATCTGTCCAACCTTTCAGAAGTAAGGGTCTCTTTTGCGCCGGTTTACAGTAAGCTCGCTTGGGGGAACTCGCTTGCGCTTTAGGATTAAAAACCTTATGTATGATCGGCGCTTGCGGATTAGCCTTATCTGGAGGCATTACAAGAAAGCTAGCGGTGCAACTAGCTAGGCCCTTAGGCTTATTTAAATAAATATTCCAGCTGGGCTAGTCAGACTAAGTTAGTCAAAGAAGGAAGACAGGATCAGAACCGTAACCCTGTGTCATAGGGCAGCAAAGGCACTATCGGGGAGAGGCTTTTGAGAGAGATAGGGGTGAAGCGGATCCTTTAATTGACTATGCTAGGTGGCATAAAGAGTCTCTTTCTCAGTGCTCTTTGTTCTGTCTGTTGGTAGTGCTTTCTTTGAATTTCTTTGTAGGCAGGCTGGATTTAATGAAGCTCGACCGAAGGGAGAGGGTTAAATAGCTCGACCTACCGGGGAGAGGATGGATGGAATGAAGGGTAGAGGAAGAGAAAAACTATTAAGACGACTTTTAGCTACAAGCCCTTATAGCGTAATTAAGCCAACCAACAAGCCAATTGCACAAACGCCTTAAAAACTATAATAGTAGCGGAAAGCTCTCTAACTGATAGAGATGCTGCTTCAGAAGCAGAAAGAGCAGCAAGATACTAAAGGATGAAAAGCAACGAGCAGCAGAGTAGTTTACACCTTGCTAATGACATAAGTAAAGACACCAGCTTCAAAGCCCCTAGATAGTAATACGTAAGAGGAAGGTGACTAAAACTATTCGCACCCCAACCTAGAGCCGATTACTGGAAATCCTACTAAGGGCGGGCATTATGATCAGCAACTCACTCTCTGGAGAATTTTATTGCCGCATGAAGGCACTCGCAGCATTGACCGGAAATTTGGTAGACCAAAGAATAAACTAAGTAGACAATAATAAATCCCTTCCCTCATACCACATTAGCACTTAAGCTCAGAACATTTTTGGGAGAAGAAAGACTCACAAGGCGGTTGGGCGAGGTGCATCTAGAAAGGAAAAGAAGTTTACCGCATTTGAAGGGACTACTGGTAATCTATGATAAGGGCTTTAACCGTCTTCCTAAAGAAAAAGGCGTCGAGGCGACCACTAATACACAACCTCTATGAGGGGGCTTCTTGCTCAAGATATATTAGGCGTTAAGACGATCACAACCTATGAAGACAAATAAACGAGGAGGATAGGCAAGCAGAGATGAAAGTAGAGAGCTAACCTAAACACAAGAAAAGATCCATTGAAAGAAGGGATTCGGGGAGGAAATGGGAGGAGTGAGTACAAATAGTGAGTGTCGCGTAGTAAAGAGCGATAAGACGTATTTATGTTTCAGACGAGACGAGAATTAATTATCCAAGACTTCGTAGGAAAGAGGCCTTAGACAAGGCTTTTTTAGGATGGGCAAGAGAAAGGAGAGAGGTTTGACTATTATCCGCCGCTAGAAGCAATCGGTAATGGAATAAGAGAAGCAGCCAAAGGGGCACTTCTGATTCCGAAAAAACAAAAGACTAACCGGAAACAGAAAAGAATACGGGTCCTGTCTTTGTTCGGGTGCTAAGCCCGAAAGCCCTTAGAGTCTTATTTTTATGCCATTATTGAATGCAGGGTTTTAGCTCGCCCTTGCTTCTTTGGATGCCAATGCGTCTCTTGTTTCAGCTGATTCTCCGGTTGAAGATCAGTCTTCTCAAGGGAATCTTTCATGCTGTCTGAAATCCTTGTTTTCAATCTGTATATCCAACCCAAGAGTGTACCGGAGCGAGAACTAAATGAAAGGGGTGGAAGTTCCTCCACATTTGATGATCATGTACATTCACGCGCGAATTGCGTATTATATAAGTGCTGTGTGATCCCGCTGTTCGCCTGCGTATTGAAACCTACTTGAACTAGATCTTCCGACTCTCGCGCTTAAAGATGGATTGGCGGGTTCCGAAGAAGACTGGCTTTCTAGGGTAAGGAATGGAACTTCCCGGCACGCAGGAGTACGTTGAATTCTTCGCTAAGACAATGGAAGGTGACGTATGTACAGCTGACGAGAGTGAGGGGCGGTCTCCCTACTTCCTACTGGACGTGGAAATTCTTGCTCTCATTCTTGCCGGACGGCTCGTGGGCAAAGGTGAATCAAGTCCATTCTCTCTGTCCTGATTATCGCGCGAGCTGAGGGGGGGAACTCGGCAGAAGATCGGTCTGCAAGAAAGGCCTACTTATCCACGGGTTCATTTGCTTAAGACGGCTGTGCAGGGCAATCGGGTGCAGTAAGTATCGCCTATAAAGTTTTTTAGCTCTTCTCTTTCCTTTCCCGATTGGTTCTGTGTCAGGTGAGTGGCGGAACTTCTTCCTGTCAGGCAGAGCTTTGCCAAGGCGTATTTTCTTACGTGTGATCGGGCCGGAGTGAAACAAGGGATCAAAGCGTCGAGGCGCGAAGTCTTTACTTTAGGATCGGATGCAATTCTGAAGCTGGTACATGCTGCACTGGTCCATGTTTCTGGCATCCTTTAGTCTATTTTATGAAATCGGACAAGATGGTTGGCCAGTAATGGCCATGCCCTCTGATCAGCCAACTCATTTTATGCCCTGCTTGATATGATCCACATACTATACTCCATCATGGACTTGAAAGATCATTTTTTCGGCTTCTTGCTCACTCACACACCTGAGGAGCAGTCCGTCCTTTCCACGCCGATACAATATTCCGTCAATCAAAGCATAATTCAAAGCTTGTTGTTTTACTGACCTGGGAGTTTCTTTAGAAGGATCGGACAAGTACCTGACGAGAGGTGTTTCACTCCTGCCCGATCTTCTTCTGGCTCCATTATGTAAGAGTCAAAAGTTTTCTGGAATGCTGTTGGAATCGTCCTTTTTTTGTTTGTTTAGTTGTCCGATTAGGAAATCTCAAACGTCGAAGATAGCTGGGCCATTGTGTTAGCCTCAACATTGGCCCTTCTAGGTACATGGTCAATCTTAATTTCATCAAACTCGACGAATCGAGTCTAGGGCTCTTTTTGTGTATGGGTGCTGCTTTGCCTCATACTCAGCGATGACTTGTCTCACTACTAGCTGAGAATCACCCTTCTTAACGTGGATGGATCGCATGCCCATTGCCGCAGCTAGTTCTAATCCGATAAGCAAGGCTTCATACTCAGCTACGTTGTTCGTGCATGGGAAATTAAGCCGGTATGAATGGTGAGAAACTAGACCATTCATTAGGAGAGAAAAAAACAAGACCTGCTCCCGCGCCACCTTGCGTACTGGAGCCATCGAAATACATTTGCCATGGAGTTGTGGTCAGACGCATGACCTCTCCATTATCCTGATCGGGCAACTGCTTGCCTAAGTCCAACGGATGATTTATAAAAAATTCGGCCCCTTTGACCGGTAAATAATTGAATGAAAACTCTGACAAGGCAAAAACCCATTTTTCAATCCGACCTTTGAGAAATGGTATCGATAACATGTGTTTGATCAAATCGGTTCTTTCCCTCACCACATGACGTTTGCCTCGGTAACAGATAATGCCGAGGCTCGACCGCTGTGAAATACAGGCACAAACACATCTTATCAATTCGAGTGTCATTTCTCTCTTGCCCCTTAAGAAGGCGACTTAGGTAATAAATCGTTCCTTTCCTTTCTCATTCTTCTGTGCCAAGAATGATACAATTGAATCTTCTGAAGCTGATATGTACAATATCAAGGGCTCTCCATCCCTTGGTGGCATCAAAACTGCCCTGTTGGTCCGGTATTTCTTAATTTCATCGAACGCTTTCTAGTGAACTTCCTCCTACACGAACTCTTCTGAGTCCTTTAGTTTCACAGCAGGGAGACCATGGTTGAAGTTTTCCTGCGAGATTTGAGATAAATCGGCTAAAAAATGGAATCTGGCCTCTCCTGTTCCTTTTTGTTTTTTAGCGGAAGAGCTTCAGTAATTTCTCGTGCTTTGTTCTTGTCTATCTCAATACCTCGGTGGTGCACAAGAAATCCTAAAAAATTCTCAGCCCCGATTGAATGGATTTTCATTTTCAAAGCATGTTGTCGCATTCGTTCGAAAGTTTTCCTTAAATCGGCCAAGTGCTGTTCATCTTCAGGCTGCCACATTCAAACAATTTGATTTGAACTACCCGTCTGGGGTCTTGTCCACCTTTTTCTTACCCTGAAAAAATAACTATATCATTATTGCATAACATAATAATAGTGGCTATCTTTCTTCAAGTGAGAGAGAGGATAGAAAAACCATCGCCCAAAGGTGCTTTTTGAAAACCGGTCACCGTTGGCTAAAAACCATTCCTCACTTGTGATGTGAAGCGGCTTTCAATTTCCAATTTTTTTGTGTTTAGTGAGGATATCGAGATTCTCTTAAGAGAGAAGGTAGCCCTTTGTCATGTCACGAGCTGGACTCGAACCAGCACCTCTGGGCAACGAGTGGGAAGGAGCCTTGACTTGAGCATTGTACAAGTGC